TTCAAGATTTCCAAATGACCATTTGCTGCAGCACGGCTACATGTCCAATCATCCCAAGGACAGCCATTTTCATGGGCATATTTCAGGATTTCCAAATGGCCTTTCTCTGCAGCTTGTCTACATGTCTCTGCACCCCAAGGACAGCCATGATCATGGGCATATTTCAGGACTTCCAAATGACCATTCTTTGCAGCAAATTTGCATGTGTGTGCACCCCAATCGCAACCATTTTCATGGGCATATTTGAGGATCTCCAAACGGCCGGATGATGCAGCATTTTGGCATGTGTGGTGATCCCAATGGAATCCCTCATTCCGTACCAATTGAAGAACTTGAAGATTCCCCACCCTGGCAGCTGCAGCACAAATTTCCGAGTCACTAATCCGTCCTCCAGGTCCAGTTCCAGTTTGGCGATATGAGCACCAATACTCGGTCCGCGACACAGAGGACACAATGGCACTACAGGGAGTCTCCGTCTTTGTTACGGAGCGAATCATTTGACCAGGATCCTGAACCTGTGGGGGTTTCTCCACAGTGTCACAGTAAGCCATGTACATATAATATTTTTCATGTTGTGGCTGACAGGTGCCACAAACGCAAAGTGCCCCATACCGAGAAAAGGGAAAATCTTGTCAACCCAGATATCTTTGTGTTGTAGTAAACAGGAGTCTTCTTGGGCAAGTTTGAGATTGGTAGCTGCCTGCTGGACAATTTGATTCATAGTTTTAGTCAGCTCTTCCTGCAATACCAACACAGTCTCCAGATCCTTTGTGCCTTGTGATTTATTGTTGCTGCTGCTGCTTTGTTGTGCCTGTAGTTGCCTTAAGACTAGTGAGACAGCTTCTAAAGCATGTTTAGTGGAAACCTCGATATCAACAACGTCATCTGCTTGCTTTGCTCTCTTGTGCTGCTCCAGTACTGTCACTGTGTAGTCAAGCCCTCTCTTGCCATTGTCTTGCTCCATGTTGTCTTCATTCATATACCGGGCAGACCCCGGTGATCTCTGAGGTCATCTTTTGTGGTGGTGGTGGGCTTTGGTTGGTTTGGCCACCCTTAACCCTAGTGTCCCCTATGATATGATGGCGGAACAGTCAATCTCCCGCAGAGGTGACTTCCATTCTTCTCCCGCAGAGGCTCCCAGAGAGGCTCCCACAGAGGATCTGTTCCAGCATGCATTTCAAGAGCAGCTTGTGCAAGGGATTAATCTTGATGGATGGTCAGTGGTTAGAAATCAAGAATGCAACACAGCAACCACTGGTATCACCCACCAAATGCAACCCGGCAAAATAAAGCAAGATTACCCAAAACAGCACAGATACAGAGTTCGAAATGAGGCAGTTCATTTCTGCAGGGCCAGAAAGCTCACAATTTCGGGCAGCATCAATCTAAAAAGCAAACAAAAAAACCTACACCATGAGCCAACCAAATTTGAAGAAGAAAAAGTACCACAGCCAGTTTGAATTGGATGACAATGATGATTTCATCGAAGTCATTGAAATTGAAGATGATGATGATGATGAGGGCAAGGTGGGTGCTGCACAAGTGGAAGCAATGAGCAATGGTGATGGATTGACTGGAGTTGCTGCAGAGGGCCTTCTATTGCTAAGTAATGTGGCCAAAGCCAAGGGCAGTAATGGAGAAACAGACAATGGTGCCAATTGCAGTATTAAAGTCGAACCCATTATTGCAACAAACAAATCAACTGATGCCAGCATGGACAATGTTAAGGTTACCTCTGACAAGGCAAGTTTGCGCACTGCACGTAATGCTGCCAAACTACGCGCAGCATTGCAACCG